GTAACTCTGCCTCACAGTCACACTGTCCAAGGGGTCTCCACCTCCTCTATGTAACTCTGCCTCACAGTCACACTGTCCAAGGGGTCTCCACCTCCTCTATGTAACTCTGCCTCACAGTCACACTGTCCAAGGGGTCTCCACCTCCTCTATGTAACTCTGCCTCACAGTCACACTGTCCTAGGGGTCTCCACCTCCTCTATGTAACTCTGCCTCACAGTCACACTGTCCAAGGGGTCTCCACCTCCTCTATGTAACTCTGCCTCACAGTCACACTGTCCAAGGGGTCTCCACCTCCTCTATGTAACTCTGCCTCACAGTCACACTGTCCAAGGGGTCTCCACCTCCTCTATGTAACTCTGCCTCACAGTCACACTGTCCAAGGGGTCTCCACCTCCTCTATGTAACTCTGCCTCACAGTCACACTGTCCAAGGGGTCTCCACCTCCTCTATGTAACTCTGCCTCACAGTCACACTGTCCCAGGGGTCTTAACCTCCTCTATGTAACTCTGCCTCACAGTCACACTGTCCAAGGGGTCCCCACCTCCTCTATGTAACTCTGCCTCACAGTCACACTGTCCAAGGGGTCCCCACCTCCTCTATGTAACTCTGCCTCACAGTCACACTGTCCCAGGGGTCTCCACCTCCTCTATGTAACTCTGCCTCACAGTCACACTGTCCAAGGGGTCTTCACCTCCTCTATGTAACTCTGCCTCACAGTCACACTGTCCAAGGGGTCTCCACCTCCTCTATGTAACTCTGCCTCACAGTCACACTGTCCCAGGGGTCCCCACCTCCTCTATGTAACTCTGCCTCACAGTCACACTGTCCCACGGGTCTCCACCTCCTCTATGTAACTCTGCCTCACAGTCACACTGTCCAAGGGGTCTCCACCTCCTCTATGTAACTCTGCCTCACAGTCACACTGTCCAAGGGGTCCCCACCTCCTCTATGTAACTCTGCCTCACAGTCACACTGTCCAAGGGGTCTCCACCTCCTCTATGTAACTCTGCCTCACAGTCACACTGTCCCAGGGGTCTCCACCTCCTCTATGTAACTCTGCCTCACAGTCACACTGTCCAAGGGGTCTCCACCTCCTCTATGTAACTCTGCCTCACAGTCACACTGTCCAAGGGGTCCCCACCTCCTCTATGTAACTCTGCCTCACAGTCACACTGTCCCAGGGGTCCCCACCTCCTCTATGTAACTCTGCCTCACAGTCACACTGTCCAAGGGGTCTCCACCTCCTCTGTGTAACTCTGCCTCACAGTCACACTGTCCAAGGGGTCTCCACCTCCTCTATGTAACTCTGCCTCACAGTCACACTGTCCAAGGGGTCTCCACCTCCTCTATGTAACTCTGCCTCACAGTCACACTGTGCAAGGGGTCCCCACCTCCTCTATGTAACTCTGCCTCACAGTCACACTGTCCCAGGGGTCTCCACCTCCTCTATGTAACTCTGCCTCACAGTCACACTGTCCAAGGGGTCCCCACCTCCTCTATGTAACTCTGCCTCACAGTCACACTGTCCAAGGGGTCTCCACCTCCTCTATGTAACTCTGCCTCACAGTCACACTGTCCAAGGGGTCTCCACCTCCTCTATGTAACTCTGCCTCACAGTCACACTGTCCAAGGGGTCTTCACCTCCTCTATGTAACTCTGCCTCACAGTCACACTGTCCAAGGGGTCTCCACCTCCTCTATGTAACTCTGCCTCACAGTCACACTGTCCCAGGGTCTCCACCTCCTCTATGTAACTCTGCCTCACAGTCACACTGTCCAAGGGGTCTCCACCTCCTCTATGTAACTCTGCCTCACAGTCACACTGTCCAAGGGGTCTCCACCTCCTCTATGTAACTCTGCCTCACAGTCACACTGTCCCAGGGGTCTCCACCTCCTCTATGTAACTCTGCCTCACAGTCACACTGTCCAAGGGGTCTCCACCTCCTCTATGTAACTCTGCCTCACAGTCACACTGTCCCAGGGGTCTCCACCTCCTCTATGTAACTCTGCCTCACAGTCACACTGTCCAAGGGGTCTTCACCTCCTCTATGTAACTCTGCCTCACAGTCACACTGTCCAAGGGGTCTCCACCTCCTCTATGTAACTCTGCCTCACAGTCACACTGTCCAAGGGGTCTCCACCTCCTCTATGTAACTCTGCCTCACAGTCACACTGTCCAAGGGGTCTCCACCTCCTCTATGTAACTCTGCCTCACAGTCACACTGTCCAAGGGGTCCCCACCTCCTCTATGTAACTCTGCCTCACAGTCACACTGTCCAAGGGGTCTCCACCTCCTCTATGTAACTCTGCCTCACAGTCACACTGTCCCAGGGGTCTTCACTTCCTCTATGTAACTCTGCCTCACAGTCACACTGTCCAAGGGGTCCCCACCTCCTCTATGTAACTCTGCCTCACAGTCACACTGTCCAAGGGGTCTCCACCTCCTCTGTGTAACTCTGCCTCACAGTCACACTGTCCAAGGGTCTTCACCTCCTCTGTGTAACTCTGCCTCACAGAGTCTCACTCCCCCAGGGTCTCCACCAAGGCTTTAATTATAATAAATATTGGTGGGGGGACAAATCCCTTCCACAATTTAAATATGCTCACAATGTCCCCACCCCATTAACCAATCTCTATCTCTAAAATCCCCGTGTGTTGATATGCTCGTGGTCAGGGCTGTAGTTTTATTCATCTGCTGCTCCTCCGAGTAGCCGTCCTGGGGGCCCCAAGCGACCAGGCCGCTAACCCCCGGGGCCAGGGGCCACAGCTGACGTTCCGGGCACGACTCTCTGTGAGTCACTCCCCTCCCCAAGGCCACTGCCCTCGCCCTCGACTCGGGCATGGCAGCCTCCTCACTCTCTGGGGCGTCCGCTGGCTTCAGCGAAGGAAGCGGAGAGTTTGGAATCGGGGCAGCCACGAACGTTTCGGTCTCTGGGCCAATCCCGTGGTCAGAACTCGTGGGCGGCTTCTGAAGGCGATTCCACCCCGCGCCCAGCAAAATTCTCTCTCCAGCTCACCGGGTGAGGCGTCAGGCACCTCGACACACTCACCACCCTCACCAACTCACCACCCTCACCACCCTCACACTCACCACCCTCACCACCCTCACCACACTCACCACCCGCACCACCTCACCCTCAACACCCTCACCACCCTCACCACCTCAACCTCACCACACTCACCACCCTCACCACCTCACCACACTCACCACCCTCACACTCACCACCCTCACCACACTCACCACCTCAACCTCAACTCCACCACCTCACCACACTCACCACCCTCACCCTCACCACTTCACCACCTCACCACCTCACCACCTCGATACACTCACCACCCTCACCACCCTCACCACCCTCACCACACTCACCACGTCACCCTCACCACCTCACCACACTCACCACGTCACCCTCACCACCTCACCACACTCACCAACTCACCACCTCAGGCTCACCACCTCACCCTCATCTCACCACCTCACCCTCACCACCTCACCCTCACCCTCACCTCCTCACCCTCACCACCTCACCCTCACCACCTCACCCTCACCACCCTCACCACCTCACCCTCAACACCTCACCCTCACCACCTCACCCTCACCCTCACCACCACCTCACCCTCACCCTCACCACCTCACCCTCACCACCTCACCCTCACCACCCTCACCACCTCACCGCCTGCTCACTACCTCACCCTCACCACCTGCTCACCCCCTGCTCACCACCACCTGCTCACCACCCTCACCACCTGCTCACCCCCTGCTCACCACCACCTGCTCACCACCCTCACCACCTGCTCACCACCTGCTCACCACCACCTGCTCACCACCCTCACCACCTCACCCTCACCACCTGCTCAGCACCTCACTCTCACCACCTGCTCACCACCACCTGCTCACCACCTGCTCACCACCTCACTCTCACCACCTGCTCACCACCACCTGCTCACCACCCCTTGCTCACCACCCCCTGCTCACCACCACCTGCTCACCACCACCTGCTCACCACCACCTGCTCACCACCACCTGCTCACCACCTGCTCACCACCTCACCCTCACCCCCTGCTCACCAGCACCTGCTCACCACCCCCTGCTCACCACCACCTGCTCACCACCACCTGCTCACCACCACCTGCTCACCATCACCTGCTCACCACCCCCTGCTCACCACCTCACCCTCACCACCTGCTCACCACTCCCTGCTCACCACCCTCACCCCCTCACCCCTGCTCACCACCCCCTGCTCACCACCCCCTTCTCACCACCCCCTGCTCACCACCTCACCCTCACCACCTGCTCACCACCCCCTGCTCACCACCTGCTCACCACCTCACCCTCACCACCTGCTCACCACCACCTGCTCACCCCCTGCTCACCACCCCCTGCTCACCACCTCACCCTCACCCCCTGCTCACCACCCCCTGCTCACCACCTCACCCTCACCACCTGCTCACCACCTCACCCTCACCACCTGCTCACCACCCCCTGCTCACCACCTCACCCTCACCACCTGCTCACCACCTCACCCTCACCACCTGCTCACCACCTCACCCTCACCCCCTGCTCACCACCCCCTGCTCACCACCTCACCCTCACCACCTGCTCACCACCTCACCCTCACCACCTGCTCACCACCCCCTGCTCACCACCTGCTCACCACCTGCTCACCACCCCCTGCTCACCACCCCCTGCTCACCACCCCCTGCTCACCACCTGCTCACCACCTCACCACCACCTCACCCTCACCCCCTGCTCACCACCCCCTGCTCACCACCTCACCCTCACCACCTGCTCACCACCTCACCCTCACCACCTGCTCACCACACCCTGCTCACCACCTCACCCTCACCACCCTCACCACCCTCACCACCTCACCACCACCTCACCCTCACCCCCTGCTCACCACCCCCTGCTCACCACCTCACCCTCACCCCCTGCTCACCACCTGCTCACCACCTGCTCACCACCTGCTCACCACCCCCTGCTCACCACCCCCTGCTCACCAATCTCCTCCCCCAGCTCGGCGTGCAGCAGCGACCCGGCGCTGGCCACGACGGCGCAGCTCCTCCAGGGGCCGTCCACCGCGCCCTGGGCCAGCGAGACGTTGGGCAGAGCTCCCGGCCAGGGGAACGGCGAGTGGGCCTCCAGCATCTCGGTGCCCTCGCGACGGGCGAGGCGGCGGAGGGCGCAGAGCGCGTCGAGGCGAGGGGGGAGGGAACATGCGGCAGAGGGGAAGTTGAGAGACTTCCACGTGTACCAGGAGCTCACCATGCCAGAGAACACCTGGAGGGGTGGTGAGTAGGGGGTGAGTAGGGGGTGAGTAGGGGTGAGTAGGGGTGAGTAGGGGTGAGTAGGGGAAGTTGAGAGCCTTCCACGTGTACCAGGAGCTCACCATGCCAGAGAACACCTGGAGGGGTGGTGAGTGGGGGTGAGTAGGGGTTGGTGAGTAGGGGGTGAGTAGGGGTGAGTAGGGGTGAGTAGGGGGTGAGTAGGGGTGAGTAGGGGAAGTTGAGAGCCTTCCACGTGTACCAGGAGCTCACCATGCCGGAGAACACCTGGAGGGGTGGTGAGTAGGGGGTGAGTAGGGGGTGAGTAGGGGGTGAGTAGGGGGTGAGTAGGGGTGAGTAGGGGGTGAGTAGGGGAAGTTGAGAGCCTTCCACGTATACCAGGAGCTCACCATGCCGGAGAACACCTGGAGGGGTGGTGAGTAGGGGGTGAGTAGGGGGTGAGTAGGGGGTGAGTAGGGGGTGAGTAGGGGGTGAGTAGGGGTGAGTAGGGGTGAGTAGGGGGTGAGTAGGGGGTGAGTAGGGGGTGAGTAGGGGTGAGTAGGGGTGAGTAGGGGTGAGTAGGGGGTGAGTAGGTGGTGAGTAGGTGGTGAGTAGGGGTGAGTAGGGGTGAGTAGGGGTGAGTAGGGGTGAGTAGGGGAAGTTGAGAGCCTTCCACGTGTACCAGGAGCTCACCATGCCGGAGAACACCTGGAGGGGTGGTGAGTAGGGGGTGAGTAGGGGGTGAGTAGGGGTGAGTAGGGGGTGAGTAGGTGGTGAGTAGGGGGTGAGTAGGGGGTGAGTAGGGGTGAGTAGGGGAAGTTGAGAGCCTTCCACGTGTACCAGGAGCTCACCATGCCAAAGAACACCTGGAGGGGTGGTGAGTAGCGGGTGAGTGGGTGGTGAGTGAGGGGTGGTGAGTAGGGGTGAGTAGGGGGTGAGTAGGGGTGAGTAGGGGGTGAGTGGGGGGTGAGTAGGGGTGAGTAGGTGGTGAGTAGGAGGTGAGTGGGGGTGAGTAGGGGGTGAGTAGGGGGTGAGTAGGGGGTGAGTAGGGGTGAGTAGGTGGTGAGTAGGGGTAAGTTGGGGGTGAGTAGGGGTGAGTGGGGGGTGAGTAGGGGTGAGTGGGGCGTGAGTAGGGGTGAGTAGGTGGTGAGTGGGGGTGAGTAGGGGTGAGTGGGGGTGAGTAGGGGTGAGTGGGGGTGAGTAGGGGTGAGTAGGGGGTGAGTAGGGGGTGAGTACGGGGTGAGTAGGGGGTGAGTAGGGGGTGAGTAAGGGGTGAGTGGGGGGTGAGTAGGGGGTGAGTGATGGGTGAGTGATGGGTGAGTAGGGGGTGAGTGATGGGTGAGTGGGGGGTGAGTGGGGGGTGAGTAGGGGTTAGTAGGTGGTGAGTAGGGGGTGAGTAGGTGGTGAGTAGGGGTGAGTAGGTGGTGAGTAGGGGTGAGTAGGGGGTGAGTAGGGGGTGAGTAGGGGGTGAGTAGGGGTGAGTAGGGGGTGAGTAGGGGGTGAGTAGGGGGTGAGTAGGGGGTGAGTGGGGGGTGAGTAGGGGGTGAGTAGGGGGTGAGTGGGGGTGAGTAGGGGGCAGGTAGGGGGTGAGTAGGGGTGAGTAAGGGGTGAGTAGGGGTGAGTAGGGGGTGAGTGGGGGTGAGTGGGGGTGGGTAGGGGTGAGTAGGGGGTGAGTGGGGGGTGAGTAGGGGGTGAGTAGGGGTGAGTGGGGGGTGAGTAGGGGGTAAGTAGGGGGTGAGTGGGGGTGAGTAGGGGGTGAGTGGGGGTGAGTAGGGGGTGAGTAGGGGGGTGAGTAGGGGTGAGTAGGGGGTGAGTATGGGTGAGTGGGGGGTGAGTAGGGGTGAGTAGGGGGTGAGTGGGGGTGAGTAGGGGGTGAGTAGGGGGGTGAGTAGGGGTGAGTAGTGGGGTGAGTGGGGGGTGAGTAGGGGGTGAGTGGGGGGTGATTAGGGGGTGAGTAGGGGTGAGTGGGGGGTGAGTAGGGGGTGAGTAGGGGGTGAGTGGGGGTGAGTAGGGGTGAGTAGGGGGTGAGTAGGGGTGAGTAGGGGGTGAGTAGGGGTGAGTAGGGGGTGAGTAGGGGGGTGAGTAGGGGTGAGTAGGGGGTGAGTAGGGGTGAGTGGGGGGTGAGTAGGGGTGAGTAGGGGGTGAGTGGGGGTGAGTAGGGGGTGAGTAGGGGGGTGAGTAGGGGTGAGTAGGGGTGAGTGGGGGGTGAGTAGGGGGTGAGTGGGGGGTGATTAGGGGGTGAGTGGGGGGTGCGTGGGGGGGTGAGTGGGGGGTGAGTAGCGGGTGAGTAGGGGGGTGAGTAGGGGGTGAGTAGGGCGGTGAGTAGGGCGGTGAGTGGGGGGTGAGTGGGGGTGAGTGGTGGGTGAGTAGGGGGGTGAGTGGGGGGTGAGTGGGGGGTGAGTAGGGGGCTGAGTGGGGGGTGAGTAGGGGGGTGAGTGGGGGGTGAGTGGGGGGTGAGTGGGGGGTGAGTGGGGGGTGAGTAGGGGGGAGTGGGGGTGAGTGGGGGTGAGTAGGTGGTGAGTAGGGGGTGAGTAGGGGGTGAGTGGGGGGTGAGTGGGGTGTGAGTGGGGGGTGAATAGGGGGTGAGTGGGGGGTGAGTGGGGGGTGAGTGGGGGGGTGAGTAGGGGTAAGTAGGGGGTGAGTAGGGGGTGAGTAGGGGGTGATGAGGAGGTGAGTCTTGAGGTGAGTAGAGGGGTGAGTAGGGGGTGAGAAGAGGGTGGTGAGTAGAGGGTGAGTAGGGGGTGAGTGAATACTCACCCCCTAATCACTCACCCAACCACCCACTCATTCTCCCAACCACTCACTCACCCCCCCTACCCACTCACCCACCCACTCACTCACTCACCCACCCACCCACCCACCCACTCACCCACTCACTCACCCACCCACCCACTCAATCACTCACCCACTCACCCACCCACCCACTCACCCACCCACCCACCCACTCACTCACTCACTCACCCACTCACTCACCCACCCACCCACTCAATCACTCACCCACTCATCCACCCACCCACTCACCCACTCATTCACTCACTCACCCACCCACCCACTCACTCACCCACCCACCCACCCACTCACTCACTCACCCACCCACTCACCCACTCACCCACCCACTCACCCACTCACTCACCCACCCACCCACTCACTCACTCACTCACCCACCCACTCACCCACCCACCCACCCACTCACTCACCCACCCACCCACTCACCCACTCACTCACCCACCCACCCACTCACTCACTCACCCACCCACTCACCCACCCACCCACCCACTCACTCACCCACCCACCCACTCACCCACTCACTCACTCACCCACCCACCCACCCACTCACTCACCCACCCACCCACTCACTCACTCACTCACCCACCCACCCACTCACCCACCCACCCACTCACTCACCCACCCACCCACTCACCCACTCACTCACTCACCCACCCACTAACCCACCCACTAACCCACCCACCCACCCACTAACCCACCCACCCACACTCACCTCCTGATTTCCACTCCCGTTAAACAGCTGATCTCCAACCTCCGGCCTCCGGTCGACGCACGGAGCCTGCGACGTCGTCGCCTTCACCTCTGCGGCCTCGCTCGTGACCTCCGTGACCTCCGTGACCTCCGTGACCTCCGCGACCTCCGCGACCTCGTTGGGGGCCCACGTCAGCCTGAGTCCGGAGCCCATGGCCAGGATGTAGACCATGGTGACCCCCACGAGGGTCACGACGACGATTGGGGCCACCACCCGGCTCCTCGGGATGGCGGAGAGCATCTGGAGGACGAGGTGGAGGTGGAGGACGAGGTGGAGGAGGACGAGGTGGAGGATAGGGGGGTGGAGGATAGGGGGGTGGAGGAGGAGGTGGAGGTGGAGGACGAGGTGGAGGAGGAGGACGAGGTGGAGGATAGGGGGTGGAGGACGAGGTGGAGGTGGAGGACGAGGTGGAGGTGGAGGACGAGGTGGAGGATAGGGGGGTGGAGGAGGAGGTGGAGGTGGAGGACGAGGTGGAGGATAGGGGGGTGGAGGAGGAGGTGGAGGAGGAGGTGGAGGTGGAGGACGAGGTGGAGGATAGGGGGGTGGAGGAGGAGGTGGAGGAGCTGGTGGTGGAGCTGGTGGTGGAGCTGGCTACTAAAAGCCCTCGCCTCTACAGCTGCTTATGGCGACTTGGTGGGTGGGTAGGTGGGGGTATGTGAGGGGGTAGGGGTAGGGATGGGGGTAGGGATGGGGGTAGGGGTAGGGGGTAGGGATGGGGGTAGGGATGGGGGTAGGGATGGGGGTAGAGGTGGGGGTAGGGGTGGGGGGTAGGGGTAGAGGTGGCGGTAGAGGTCAGGATGGGGGTAGAGGTGGGGGTAGGGATGGGGGTAGGGGTGGGGGGTAGGGGTAGAGGTGGGGGTAGAGGTAAGGATGGGGGTAGAGGTGGGGGTAGGGATGGGGGTAGGGGTGGGGGGTGGGGGTAGAGGTGGGGTTAGGGGTGGGGGTAGGGGTAGGGGTGGGGGGTAGGGGTAGAGGTGGCGGTAGAGGTCAGGATGGGGGTAGAGGTGGGGGTAGGGATGGGGGTAGGGGTGGGGGGTGGGGGTAGAGGTGGGGTTAGGGGTGGGGGTAGGGGTAGGGGTAGGAGGTGGGGGTAGGGGTAGGTGGGGAAATGGGTGGGGGTGGGTAGGTAGGGGTGGGGGTAGGGGTAGGGGTGGGTGTGGTACCAACTGACTTGTCGCTTCTGACAGACTGGGGGGAGGGGGTAAGTGCTGGGTGAGTGGGTGGCAGAGTGAATGGGTAAGTGATTGAGTGAGTGGGTGGGTGAGTGAGTGGGTGAGTGAGTGAGTGGTTGAGTGAGTGAGTGGGTGAGTGAATGGGTGAGTAAGTGATTGAGTGAGTGGGTGGGTGAGTGAGTGAGTGGGTGAGTGAGTGAGTGGGTGAGTGAGTGGGTGAGTGATTGAGTGCGTGAGAGGGTGAGTGAGTGAGGGGGTGAGTGAGTGGGTGAGTGAGTGGGTGAGTGAGTGAGTGGGTGAGTGAGTGGGTGAGTAATTGAGTGCGTGAGAGGGTGAGTGAGTGAGGGGGTGAGTGAGTGGGTGAGTGAGTGGGTGAGTGGCAGAGTGAATGGGTGAGTGAGTGATTGAGTGATTGAGTGAGTGGGTGAGTGAGTGAGTGGGTGAGTGATTGAGTGAGTGG